GGTAGGCTTTCGTTGGTGGGGTCTGTGTGATGAGCCTGTCTCTTATACACATCTAGATGTGTATAAGAGACAGGAGAGAGAGAGAGAGAGAGAGAGAGAGAGAGAAAGAGAGAGAAAGAGAGACATGAAACAAAAATGAGACGCCATCAGCGAGTGTTGCTGTGCGCCGCGGCATAGCCGTGGCGGGGTCCACTTGTTTTTACTAATTCAAGGAGTTAGTTAAATTATACCCTTGACTACCCCACCCAAAGGGTTACGGAAGAATGAGTTCACTCTCAACTCGGTCGTGGCTATCGGCCCGCCAGCCTGCGCTTAACGACATTGGTCCTGAACTTGGAATTCGAGGTCCTTGTCCACGACATTTCAAGTTCTTGTTCAACACAAAAGGGCCAAAGACGCTGCGAGGGCTCCACACTTGCTCCTTGCCCATCGCCGCGCTCTGCCTAAGGGCCAAAGACGCTGCGAGGGCTGAGCGGCTCATCCTTCAGCCGTTCTATATCGTGAAGGAGACTTCCTTCACGATATTTCGTTTTCGACACGAGTGTCGTGCACAACCCTGAAACCCACGAAGGGTTGCATATTTATGGGCATCACGTAAAGCGTGGCCATGACAATCGATTGCATAGCCATGCATGATTAGTCTCTATGGTCTTCGCTTGCGCAAATGCCTTGTTTTTAGGAATTGAAGGGATTGCCATCAAAGAAGGAACATCATGATATCTTTTGATGTCTCGCTTAAACCACCAGTACTGGGCCCAACTATCGGCCGCGGGCCTTCCCCGTTAACGTGCCGACACCTTCGGGGGTTGGCCAAGGGAAGGCCCGGCCGCTGCTTGAAGGTCGGGCCCGGGTTTACTCGGCACGACACCAAAGAATGAAAGACCAAAGAAAGAAAAAGAAAGATTCAAATACACAAAAATTTAAAAAGAAAGAAAACTAAAGGTAAAAAACAAAGTGACGCGGGAGGGAGGGAGAGAGAGAGAGAGAGAGAGAGAGAGAGAGAGAGAGAGGGCGGCGACCTGCACGGAGGGCCGCGGCGAACTCGTCGCCCCTCTCTCTCTCTCTCTCTCCCCCCCACGTTTCGAAAAACGAAAACGGGAATGAATCTTCCCACTTTCGCGGAAAGATCCATTCCCGTTTTGGAATAGACTATGGAAACGCCGTGCGCGCGCGCGAGAGAGAGAGAGAGGGGCAGCGGCCTGCACGGAGGGCCGCAGCGAACTCGCCGCCTCTCTCTCTCTCTCGTTTCGAAAAACCAAAACGGGAATGAATCTTCCCGCTTTTGCGGGAAGATCCATTCCCGTTTCGGAATAGACAATGGAAATGCCGGCGCGCAAGCGCAAGAGAGAGAGAGAGAGAGAGGGCCGACGACCTGCACGGAGGGTCGCGGTGAATTCGCAACCTCTCTCTCTCTCTCTCATTTCGGAAAACGAAAACGAGAGTGAATCTTCCGCTAGAACATGCAAAGATACACCGCCTTGATTATTGTCTTTTGTGCATGTCGAGGAGGTAGTAACCGTTTTGTTTTTTTTTTTCCATGTTTTTTAGAGTAAATCCCGTTTTCTGTCGTTGCTTTTTGCATTTTGTGTTCCCCCCCCCCCCCCGTGTTCTTTATTCCGTGTTCTTCTCCAAGCACGTTTGGGAAGTTAGCTCCCGGTAGTTCGAGCCTCGGCAAGGCTCGGCAAACCGGTTGGCCGAGGCTTGGACTTGATAGCTGGGCCAGGTACGGGTGGTTTAAAGCATTGGTTGGAGCAAGAAAAGTGAGAAAAGTGCACTCACCGATGGATCTGTTATTTTAGCGAGAATTTTTTTAAATATGGGAACTATTGCTCTCTCGAAGCTTCAAGAGTTTTTCAAGCGAGGTACCGTCAATAGTTGTTTGATTGGGGCCCGAAGTTGTCACTTGTGCACAATGTAAGTTATGGGTCAGGAAGTTCACAAGGGACTAGGCGCGAGTTGTACTCAAAATTGAGGTTTTTAAGGAAGAGTATTGCATGGTTAGATTAGTCGTCGTAGTCGACCGGCGTGGGGTCGCCCTTTGGAGATCGGTGCATCGTGTGGCTAGATTAGTCGTCCTAATCGATCGGCGTGGGGTCGCGCTCGGGCGATCAGTGCCCCAAGTGTCAGTTCGTGCACGGGTTCGATTCGGGCGTTAACCACACATACCCCCTAAGCTACAGCTAACGAGAAACTCCCTCGGCTGATCCACCTCTACGCTCACACGTAAAAGCTCTCAAGCGTGGACCCGTAGCTCGGCGGAGATATGCCACCTAAGCGATAGTGACAGCTCCCACGGGTGGACGTAAGTTATGCCTAGCGAGGTCCCGTCCTGTCGTAGGAACTCGGGAGAGGTATAGCTGGTGCACTCGACCAGAGCGACACTGGTCCAAAACACTTTGCGGCCCAACTGCCAAAATCCTGCGTGACACGACTGGGAGGGTCCCCGTGAGGGACCGATGCGCTTGACAGGGCCTTAGCTAGGATTTGTAGAGGTGATGGTTGGAGGAGACTGTAAGTACTCCATTGAGACTTTGTTAATTTGTTCGGGGTTGTTGAAACACGGTTGGAGATTCTTGGAATTTTGTAATTCTGATTGATCGGAGGAGGAAAGGGGAATAAGAATTGAATTTACAATTCAATTCAATTTTTGTAGACTGAGCTTCCACTGTGTACTTCTCTCTGGTTTGGTGTGGATTTCCTCCTCTCCAACTCCGCATCCTCGTGTCTGGGCGTGGTCACACCCATTGCAAAAGAGAACATCTCTGGCAACGAGCGTGCACGGCTGTCTAGAAACAGAAGTGCCCGCTCCAAGACAGAATCAACGACCGCGCACACACAGAAACGAGGAAGAGGCAAAAGAGGAGGAGGGAGAGAATGATGATGATGATGATGATGATGATGATAATGATGATAATGATGATGCCGATGTCCTCCTCCTCATCCAACAGAACCGACAGGCAGCTGTACATGCCCTTGCACAGAAATGAGCAGGAGGAGGACAACAACGATGATGACGAGGATGACAGATGGGAAAAACGAGCAGGAAGATGACAATGATGACCTCCTCGTCCAGTCCTCGTCCTCTCCTCCTCCCCACTCTGGGCGTGTGCGCAGGCCCATTACAGAAGAAAGTGTTTTTTCTTTTGCCCCTTTGTCACCCTCCTTGTTCTCGGTGTGCGCCTGTTGTGTGTGTGTGTGAGTGTGTGTGTGTGGGTGTGTGTGTGTGTGTGTGTTAAAAGAAAAAAACAAATTCTCTCTCTCTTCCCTCCACATATCATTACAAACCACCCATAACGAAAAAGTATAGATAGACAATATAATAGAAAATGCAAGATTGGCCACGTTTGTGTGGTTCAGTGCCAAGTTCCCACACACGCTTCTGCCGCTGAAGCGGCACACTTGCACATATACATGTATACATATAGTGTGGGTGTGTGTTTTAAATTTTCCCCGCAACAGCCCCAATTCCACCCAGATGAGTAGATTCAGAATCAAAGCAGCTTTTGTCCTATTGCAGACCATCAGAGCACTTGAGTTGAGACAGTCCAACATTTAAGCAATTTTACAATTAGACAGTTTTTTGGTTAAGAAAAGGAGGAGGGTCAGCAGGATGATGACGATGATGATGTCCTCCTCCTCATCCAACAGAATCGACAGGCAGCTGCACATGCTCTTGCACATAAATGAGCACGAGGGGGACGACAACGACGATGACAGTTTGGGAAAACGAGGAGGAAGATGACGATGATGACCTTCTCCTCGTCCTCACCCTCCCCTCCTCCCCACGCTGGGCGGGTGCGCAGGCCCATTACGAAAGAAAATGTTTTTGTTTTTTGCCCCTTTGTCACCGTCCTTGTTCTTGGTGTGCACCCATTGTTTGTGTGTGTGTGTGTGTGTGTGTGTGTGTGTGTGTGC